AAAGAGAAGATATTTATTAAAATAGTAGTGTATATTTTCAATAAAAGACACAGCCACGCCATAAACAGTAGAACAATTGTGTGTGTGTGTGTGTAGTGCAGTTGCATAGATGCCCTACATTATCAATTACAAAAAAATTAAAAAATAATAATAATTGTCACTTTAAAAATGCTCAAAATGTCATTTTTTGGGTGCAAAAAACACCCTTGTAAATACCTTTTTGGGTGCATTTATTATTTATTAATGCATACATTAAATTATAATTAATGTCATGATTTGATAGTTGACATGTGTAAGAAAATCTTACGAATATATCTAATATACAATAGGTAATAGAATTGTTAACCACAAAATTAATAATAAAAATTATTTTATAATCTTTCCGTTAGATGCTAATTGTAAATACCGATAGTTCAATTGTTGAATTAGAATGTGAAGATCGAAAGTTAAAATGTCGAGAAAGACATTTGAACTGTCGATCTCATCAATTTGCTACTGTTTGGTGTAATTTATTCGTAGGTGCCACTTTTATAATATTATAGATCGATATATGAATTGTGCCGAAGGCTTATCATTGATATCTCAAAATTTAAGATATGAGTAATACTCTGAGATACTTCGTGTCGCATGATGGCGAGTTGGGCACAATCAAGCCACATGTTTGAACCCCATTCCATTCCAACACCAAGTGCATAAAGTTGAATGACATTTAAGGCTTGAAGCTGTATTTTGAACATTACAATGGCGATGTTCATTTTTTATGTTATATTGTTATTTTCACGCTATTATCATTGCAGCTTTTATTCGTGCACAAAAAATGTTATACTTTTTATAGAACATAAAATTTCATTAATTGCGAACTGTTAAGTAGTAAACTAGACAAAATATTCGGGCATAACGATTGATCGGACACAATATTACGGTTATATATTAACACGAAATCTTCGATAAAGGTAAAAAATTTAAATATAGACCATAATACATATTATCCATTAACACGAAATCTCCTAAAACGTAGTTACCTCCTCATAAGGACCGAAGATTTATCCATAGACCATAAAGATTTGCCTTAAAATTAATAACAAAATGGGTATTTAATATATAGAGTAAATATTATTTTATGGTTATTGTTTCTATTCTCAATGAATAAAATTAGTTTATGGTGATTTTATTTTGCTTCATTTTTCCCTTTAAATTCTATGATAATGGAAACAAACCATTTACAAGTGTAGCATCAAAGATTCAAAAAGCCCGTGTCTTGGAGCGCTTATTATGGAACTTTTAGCAACTTTTGGATTATACAGTGCAATCGAGTCACATACCAGATGTAATTGTTGGGGAAAAAAATAAAGCAGCTATCTTGTTTTTAATTTGAATTGCCAGAAATGTCTTAGCAAAGAGGATTGAATGGAAAAATAAAGAGGCACATAGCTCATTTCTCAATCCACTTTAATTGTTGGATAAGAAAGCAATCAATAATTGCTACTATAACATGGACAGAACAGGTCAAAGTTAACTCGGTGTTGAATCTCGAACTTAGCTGATACTTACTATCAGCACAATCACATTTTGGATTTACTAGGGAAACTTGGGAAGGATCATGTTAATTTATCGTATTAATAATCGATATATAATCGAAAAGGAAAAATTTCTATTTGAGAGAGATTGAAGATTATTCCTATACCTATGAAAAAATCCCAAAATAAACACGACCAGACTGATAATGAATCCTGGTTGTGGAGGCCGGTATCTTCAAATGAAAATGCATTCTGTATGTTTGCCTTGCAACTTCAGAAGAAAAGAGGTTTAGCAAGTCAAGAGTAGTAGATGGATACAAAATAATTGCTAATAAGCTCTTACTCCAGCAAAATTGGCTATGTAATCGATATTCCCAGGAGGCAGAAGAAACAAAAATAAATAAATTTTAATGCACAACTTCAATTATTTTGTTCATTTCTACGAAAATTCTCGTATACTTACAAAATGGTTGTGCTTACTTTCTCAATCTCAATTCTCATGGTACCTCCAATCGCATTGTCAACCCTGGCTATACAACCGTCTGTTAGTCTCACCGCATATGAGTCAACATCATATGCTAGGTAAATGGCAACGACAACATCAATCGTGCTTTCACTGTCATTTGTGGTTGTTCAGTTGTCATTTGTAACTAGAACTGATAACTTTTCCTGATATCGATGGTTTTTCCTTCAAGCTTGTACTCAACAGAGAATCAGAATTGCTCAACTGACTTTCTGCAAAATCGGGTCTCATCCAAATCTTTATGTGTCCCTCTCGGGATATTGTAAGAATGGACTCTTGAGTGAATATCAAACCAGTAAGAGGTTCTGTATGAATTCGATGAGTGACCAGTGGAGAAAGCTTTGGAACATCTCGCATGCTTGGAGCGGGTCGTAAGGTACCAGGGGGGCAAGCACTTTCCCAATGATACGATTGGCTCCCGGTACTGAGAGTGGGAGATCCAACAAAAGGACGACGCGCTGGAACTACAAGCTCATCCATTTCCAGATCCCATAAAAGCAATCGAGTGTCCTGCATGACATCCGCAAGATTATATGTTGCAAAAGGAAAGCAATAAAAACTTCAAAAGTTAATAAATAGTTAACGTGTGCGACAATCGACATTTTCAATATTACAACCCACAAAAAGGAAAATAGAGAGCCATACCAAGTATTAAAATTGTACACGGGGCAAAGGCTCCAAGAGAAGTTATAGTAATCCCAGTAAACATCCAGTTTATGTTTGTTTATTTCCATTATCTCATATCAGAAGGTTGGCCAGATTTGAAAATAATGCATAATAATTGCTTTATGAGCAGGATGAGTGACTTCTAGTTTTAAAGTAAAATAACGATCAAGTACACGGGGAATCCTAGATAAAAACATAATCGTATATCATGAAATAATGAAGGGTCATTCGACTGGATTGGAAACAGGATGGCCATCCCCAAAATACATGATTGCTGACGAAAGCAGGATAGATAGCTGCATAGGATTTCAGTTGTAAAACGACCACATTCATTAACTGAACTAGTAATAATGTTGAGATACCTGACCAACAGAACCAAATCGATACACGACACTTTCCCCAGTGCCATCTGAATTTGGCGCTGACCAATATGAATCAAATGCCACTCCACTAACCTGCCATGATCCAGTATAACAAGAGTCGGGCAATCATGATTTCCTAGATGAGAAAATAAGCAGAAAAACCAATAATCTGTATAACTTGGACCAAACTACACATATAGAATAAAGCTGTGTCCAAATTCAGATTTTTCAAACCTGTAAATTCTAATTGCAAGATATTCGGACATGGAAAGATATTAATCCCACCTTTGATTTGGCAGGAATTAGATGTGACGGTTGAAAACGTGGATATTGACTGTTTCTCGTCACTATACTCTCAAACATAATGGCTAATAATCCACAGAAGCCAAATCAAGTACTTTTTAAGGAAGGATATTTGGAATCCAAATGCCTAATTTCAGAAAAAGGTCAATATATATACGTTCTGAAAGTACTTCCCAAGTTTAAGGCAAATAAAAAAATATAAAATGCACGTCCCATATTCTAGTCTGAGTATCAGGTGAAAGATAGAAGAATCACATGATATAGCTATTAATGGCTAGGTACTCACCCACGAGTTATGTCCCTCACCCCACGCAACAACCTTTCGATCTTCCATGCTCCAAACTTGAACTAAGTCATCCTCACCTCCGGTCAGAATGTATTTTCCATCCATGCTGTTGTTTTACTTGCCATCAGTTACTCCATTCTCATATAATATGACTTCTAACAAATTGCTTAAAGGAACAATAGCTTTCAAAAGGAAACCAATTAATGCAGAGAAAATTTGGATGAAAATATATCCAACAAAGAGAGTCGTGCAACCTCCTGAACCTCCTTATTATGAAAAAGAGAAATAAATGAAAACCATACACAATCCCCATAAAACCAAGTATACTCACCTCCATGCACAACATAATAAAGCACCATAATAGCTCTTTCCACCACATATTAGTTGTTCATTTTTGTAGTCAAACACTCGTAGATAACCTACATTCATCCATTTCCCTCATCCAATAAATTGTTGATAGACACAAGAAACAAGAAACGGAAAAAAAGGGACGACGTCCATAGATATAAAAGACACGAGATGTTCACAGTACCATCCCTTCCTACGGTTGCCATGTAGACCCCATCAGTTGAAAAGGAGACGCTATTTATTGAACCTTGGCAAATATGCCATCTAGCAACTGGATTCTGCACAAAACATGCAAATTAATTCACAGGGAGCATTAGACCAAACTATCGCATGGAGAAATATAAGTTACATATTAACATCGTCATACAACCAGGAGCAACCCAATGGTTGCATAAATTACAACTGTAGTCTAGTCTAAAAGAAGCATTCATTATATTCTCAAATTATATCACCAATATATAAAGCCAAATAAACGAGTCTTGATGAATATGATTTTTCACCCAAATGACAAAACCATGTATACAAATTAACCTTTCAACAAATATGCAAAAAAGAAAAAAGAGATTACTCCTCATTACCCTTTTTATGCCCTTTTTATGCGCATCTTAAATTTTGAGCCTTGTCATTGATTAGGTGATCATACACTACAGGGTGCATAATCTACCATCAGAGGTATAGAACTCAGCCCATCATATCATTTATACAGAGAATACACATTCACAGCACTAATCCTACAACAAACAGGTTAGCACAGGAAAAATCGTTCAAATAAAATCAATCACTCGTCAGTAAAAAACTTCCAGTCTTCCCGAAACCAAAAAAAAAAACAAACAAAACACTGGTTTCATTCGTCCCTCGAGTCTTTTTAACCACCACTTCAGTTGGATATGCATAACTGCTCAGTACAGACAAAACACTGGTTTCAAATTATCCTACAATCTCAAGTCTTAATAAATATGTTTTTCATCTGCAACTGTTTCTTTCAAAATTTAAAGCAAATATTGATCTAAATTTCAGTTAATAACACCAAGGAGATAAATCAATTAGAAATCATCGAAGTTCAACCAAAAAGATTTAACTGAGTTTTCATAATTAAAGAGCGAAATCAGAAAGGATGAGGATAATATTGAAAACAGATAAAAAATTTGCAGTCAGCCTGCAAAGTTTTCTGTAAACCAAAGATGTCTTTATTATAGTATTCAAATGCGGTGGTGCAGAAACCTCGTTGACGATATAAAGTAAAAAGTGCAAGCAAAAAGGAGATAGGAAAACGAAAAAATTAAAACAAAAAATAAAATAAAAAAACAAAAACAAAAAACAAAAAACAAAATTTAAATACAATGAGCCCCAACTGTCACATGGTCCAAAGAAGTATCTGACCCCATTATCCACAATATATTAGCTCAAAATTCATCAAATTCAGAGTATAAACTACTCTAGCCTTCCAAACAAAAGGCAACGGGAGTTTACCAAAGATTAGTGTGATCTTAAACCTCTGAGGAAGGCACATTTAAACAACACGGACAATATTCTGTTCTCTCTTTTAAAGTAGATAAAAGCCATCTTACTAATAAGATAAAGTTGGCAATCCAATTGATTTAATTTTTGAGAAAAGAAAGATTCCACGAGAAGAAGGAACCAAATAAGAAGCAATACCTTACTGTAGCGAGCGTGTGTTACTGAAAATTGAGTTTGATCCTTGATAACAGGGAACGAAGGATCTCCAGCACCATCTTTGCTCTGAAATTAATTATGGGACATATTGGTTTCCTCTAAACTTAGAATATTAAGACCTCTAAACTTAAAATATTAAGAGGAATACATCGATTCATATCAAATAAACGTGAACTTACCTTTTCATATGCATACATATTTCCATCTGCATGGCCCACTATAAAAGTCCCATCACCATTAGGAACCCATGCAATACAAGTACAGCGGCTGTTGAGAGATCCATAATATGCAGTCAGATAAGAAACAATTGACTTCACCAGAGAAATCTCAATATATTCCATAGTAAAGAATGGCTAAAATCAGGTACATGTCCTTAAATTTCATAACAAAATATACACCTCTTATGCACAGTTGATATTTAAACTTGGTAAATAGAACAAGATAGCGATCCTTCACCCCAGAGTTCAAAAAACTTATCGTCCACAAGAAATCATTTATAAAAATTCCATGAGCATAACTATACAAATAGGTACATAGTAGCTTCCCAACAGAAGATGCACAATAAACTAATTGATGATGTTGTGCACTTCACCGCATATGATTGGCATTTCTGCTGTCTGTCAGCTATTTGAAGTTTACAGCTTAAGACATCACGTTGGACACTTAGAGCACACTTCAGCAAGGTCACAGCTGAGTAATTGAACAATGCAAGTGAAAAAGCCACAAAGTTTCTGACTGCTAATGCCAATTCTGAGGCACTGAAGGGGTCCTAATGAAAGCCAGCAAACCAACCTAATACCATCCATTGATAAACAGCAACGAGAGGAAGTAGATCTGTTTAAAGTGTCTATAGAAATGTTGAAAATTTCTTCCCTATTTTGGTCTCGGTATTGCTTGAGATGAGATATCTAGGCTGGACTTGGGTAAACATTTGTGCCTGAATTTTGAGTTAGCCAACCCAGACCACTTAATGTTCAGTTCAATAACCATAACCGATTCCATGAACTTAGGACATAAATATAAGTGCATAAATGTTGGAACTTTGGTAAGTGTTGACACCTATAACTCCTCAATCACATCCATGCTGCCCACAACTTCTAAGCAATAAGGACAGTGGAAACAGAAAATAGAATCCTAAGGTCTTTTTAAGAATATTCTTCATGCAAACTTTGACTTTGCAAGTGAAAAAAATTTCAATCGCATTGTCCATTCATGTTCAAGTTCCATTCTAATACAGAAGTCGAAAGATGAAAAGGGGCCAGCTTTCTTAAATAGGACGTGACTCTCGATGTTGAGCAATGCATAATGACTAGAGACAAACTCAACTCTATGTATATATATACATACATACATATACATAATTACAATATCTTATTCATATCAAGTAAAAGGAATGCATGTGTCAAATGTTGAAAAATTCATAATGAGATGAGAGAAATTCAATGTGGAACCACAGTGTTTCATTCTAATATTGAAAATCTTCATAAAAAGATCATACACTACAGGGTGCATAATCTACCATCAGAGGTATAGAGCTCAGCCCATCATATCATTTATACAGAGAATACACATTCACAGCACTAATCCTACAACAAACAGGTTAGCACAGGAAAAATCGTTCAAATAAAATCAATCACTCGTCAGTAAAAAACTTCCAGTCTTCCCGAAACCAAAAAAAAAAACAAACAAAACACTGGTTTCATTCGTCCCTCGAGTCTTTTTAACCACCACTTCAGTTGGATATGCATAACTGCTCAGTACAGACAAAACACTGGTTTCAAATTATCCTACAATCTCAAGTCTTAATAAATATGTTTTTCATCTGCAACTGTTTCTTTCAAAATTTAAAGCAAATATTGATCTAAATTTCAGTTAATAACACCAAGGAGATAAATCAATTAGAAATCATCGAAGTTCAACCAAAAAGATTTAACTGAGTTTTCATAATTAAAGAGCGAAATCAGAAAGGATGAGGATAATATTGAAAACAGATAAAAAATTTGCAGTCAGCCTGCAAAGTTTTCTGTAAACCAAAGATGTCTTTATTATAGTATTCAAATGCGGTGGTGCAGAAACCTCGTTGACGATATAAAGCAAAAAGTGCAAGCAAAAAGGAGATAGGAAAACGAAAAAATTAAAACAAAAAATAAAATAAAAAAACAAAAACAAAAAACAAAATTTAAATACAATGAGCCCCAACTGTCACATGGTCCAAAGAAGTATCTGACCCCATTATCCACAATATATTAGCTCAAAATTCATCAAATTCAGAGTATAAACTACTCTAGCCTTCCAAACAAAAGGCAACGGGAGTTTACCAAAGATTAGTGTGATCTTAAACCTCTGAGGAAGGCACATTTAAACAACACGGACAATATTCTGTTCTCTCTTTTAAAGTAGATAAAAGCCATCTTACTAATAAGATAAAGTTGGCAATCCAATTGATTTAATTTTTGAGAAAAGAAAGATTCCACGAGAAGAAGGAACCAAATAAGAAGCAATACCTTACTGTAGCGAGCGTGTGTTACTGAAAATTGAGTTTGATCCTTGATAACAGGGAACGAAGGATCTCCAGCACCATCTTTGCTCTGAAATTAATTATGGGACATATTGGTTTCCTCTAAACTTAGAATATTAAGACCTCTAAACTTAAAATATTAAGAGGAATACATCGATTCATATCAAATAAACGTGAACTTACCTTTTCATATGCATACATATTTCCATCTGCATGGCCCACTATAAAAGTCCCATCACCATTAGGAACCCATGCAATACAAGTACAGCGGCTGTTGAGAGATCCATAATATGCAGTCAGATAAGAAACAATTGACTTCACCAGAGAAATCTCAATATATTCCATAGTAAAGAATGGCTAAAATCAGGTACATGTCCTTAAATTTCATAACAAAATATACACCTCTTATGCACAGTTGATATTTAAACTTGGTAAATAGAACAAGATAGCGATCCTTCACCCCAGAGTTCAAAAAACTTATCGTCCACAAGAAATCATTTATAAAAATTCCATGAGCATAACTATACAAATAGGTACATAGTAGCTTCCCAACAGAAGATGCACAATAAACTAATTGATGATGTTGTGCACTTCACCGCATATGATTGGCATTTCTGCTGTCTGTCAGCTATTTGAAGTTTACAGCTTAAGACATCACGTTGGACACTTAGAGCACACTTCAGCAAGGTCACAGCTGAGTAATTGAACAATGCAAGTGAAAAAGCCACAAAGTTTCTGACTGCTAATGCCAATTCTGAGGCACTGAAGGGGTCCTAATGAAAGCCAGCAAACCAACCTAATACCATCCATTGATAAACAGCAACGAGAGGAAGTAGATCTGTTTAAAGTGTCTATAGAAATGTTGAAAATTTCTTCCCTATTTTGGTCTCGGTATTGCTTGAGATGAGATATCTAGGCTGGACTTGGGTAAACATTTGTGCCTGAATTTTGAGTTAGCCAACCCAGACCACTTAATGTTCAGTTCAATAACCATAACCGATTCCATGAACTTAGGACATAAATATAAGTGCATAAATGTTGGAACTTTGGTAAGTGTTGACACCTATAACTCCTCAATCACATCCATGCTGCCCACAACTTCTAAGCAATAAGGACAGTGGAAACAGAAAATAGAATCCTAAGGTCTTTTTAAGAATATTCTTCATGCAAACTTTGACTTTGCAAGTGAAAAAAATTTCAATCGCATTGTCCATTCATGTTCAAGTTCCATTCTAATACAGAAGTCGAAAGATGAAAAGGGGCCAGCTTTCTTAAATAGGACGTGACTCTCGATGTTGAGCAATGCATAATGACTAGAGACAAACTCAACTCTATGTATATATATACATACATACATATACATAATTACAATATCTTATTCATATCAAGTAAAAGGAATGCATGTGTCAAATGTTGAAAAATTCATAATGAGATGAGAGAAACTCAATGTGGAACCACAGTGTTTCATTCTAATATTGAAAATCTTCATAAAAGAAGTTAAAAATATAAATGCAAAAAGGATAGCTTTATGTTCCTCTCAATAGTCATATTCAAAATGATACTCTATTCCAGGGCTTCAGCACCACAGAGTATAAACAGATTTAGGCAATAGTCTCCTAATTCCTGAACAATGCAACCATAGTAACACAGAATCTAGTATTGTACTGGGAAGAATTCCCCGTCTTATGATAAACAAAAGGTAAACTATCCAAACACTTCCTGCTCAATGGACAAGGGAGAAACATGTAATTAGTAGTCTCACACCGTCGCTTCAACACTTGCATCAAACAAACGTGAGGACAAAGAACTTTTTAACACTTCATCATTGTAATAATGCGTTAATATCAATGCTAAGAAGAACTGCAGTATAGTAAAAGGAATTGATCTAAAAGAGACCTTTAGCCAATCAGATTGCTTTCTCTACAGTAAAAGCATGGGAGCATTCAACAATGCTAAAATGACTTCAAAAGCATCCGTAACATATGCCACAATCGGGGCTTCAAGTGGTTTTAAAGGAAGACGTTGCAACTACTGGATAACGTCATCGAATTAATTTCTTATAAATTATCAAGCAGTATTTCACCATATAGATGTTAAATATATAATTTGAAGAGGCCCATTTGACTAATTATTACCATCCAGAAAAGAGTTTATCTCATTCTGAATTCAGAATGCACAATTGCTAATCCTTGCTGAACTCAATGTGATGTGTTCTCTAATTTTATCTAGACTCAAATATTGAATTCTGGGGCCCTCAATTCTGTGCATTATCACCTTAATTTAGACATAACTATTTTGGGATAAAAATGCACATGGCAGCACCATCTTATATGACTTCTATCATTGCTACTTCAATCACTTGTATAGGTGCATTCAAATTAAATTTTATCATTTTCCTCAACACATCTGACAGGATACACGTTTGAATTGTTTTCAACTCACAAACTTGCAGTTTTAGAACATCTAGTTAAATAATAATCTAATACGATGACAGACTGCAAAGACTTGTGCTATTCTATGGTTCTTTGAGAATGATAAATGTTTTCATTTGTATAAAGGATGCAGATGTGGATGCAAGAGGCCAT